CTGTTAGTTTCTAGCACTGATGTAAACAATTAAGCTCCACTCAAGCAAGCGGACTACTTTCACAACTACTGGCCTGAGTTCCACAAATCTCGTCTTTCGGTTTCATTTCTAAATCGCATTTTTCCAACTGTGTTTTCCCGATTCTGGAGAACTATGTTACACTCTGCCAGTTTCTGACACGTCATTTGAAACAGCTGCATTCTCCCTGATGTATTTGTTTAGGTTCCTTTGCCTTGATTGACAGATGCAATGAATTTTGAGATGCCGCTCTGTTGATTGGCTACAGACTTTGTAAGCGTACAGTATCCAACCCAGAATTGAAAATCAAGGGGGGACTTCTCCCACCATCATGTAGAAAATAGGGGAAATTTGAAAAAGTAGGGTATCTTTTTCCTGCTGTTGGCGAATCGCTTTGCACACGTTGCTTTTCTTCCAAACCTCTTGCCTTGATTTCTTTCTTTTCTCCATTGACCAGTTGACCTTTTCAGTTATCACCCATCTTGTAGATATACATGGCTGGCCACAATCAAGCACCTCTTCATAAACATCAAACAATTCCCAATTTCGAAGTTTGGATTTTATGGCAATTTTTACAGCTTTATCCACAGGTCTACAAGGAACAAAGGCAACATTCACTTCCTCAGCTGACCTGAGATTGTCAGTTTCAACCTTTTCCCCATGGCTGGACATCAGTTTCAAAGTTTAATGTCTTGAAATCTTTACTATCAGTTTCACGGACATTGAAATACCCCTTACACTTTCCTGTAGCCTTGCCTCCTCTACTGATCATCTCAGCTTTTTTCCACTTGTCTGTATTTTGTGGCAAATACTTTACCTTGTCTTTCACCTTAGGAAATGTTATGAGCTATGCTCACCTTTATTTTTCTCAACACCAGAGGGAGCATTATAATAGTCTTCCTCATGAAACTTGTTCTCATGCTCTTTTGGACATGTTGGATAGATCCTACTATTTCCTTCATTTTTGCTTTCCATCACCTGATCAGGTGTATCATGTCCTTGATTTTGTCTGTGTGCTACCTTATGAAGCCTACAAGTGTGGACCCTGATGTATATGCTTCCATGCCTTACACAAACGATCTTGTCGTCTTGACCTAACACACTCCCAGGTCCCTTCCACTGATTGTCTCTCAGTCATGTAATAGACTTTTTCACCTGCATGAAAGGTGGTACCTGATGGTCTGACATTATGCCTCAGTGCCCCCCGAATTCGTTCAGAGGATTCTGTTTGAATGAATGCCCTTCTTGGAAAATGTAATGAGTTCAAATGCTTAGCAAATGTTTCACTGATGGTGGTCACCTCCAAAGCTGGAGGTTTATCTTTAGGGACAGAAGGCATGTTTGGATTTGAGCCCCAAACCAATTGATATGGACTCAATCCATGTACCATTTGCAGAGAATTCTTTGCGTTGATTGCCCATACTAATGCAGGTTCCAAGTCCAGATGCAAGTTATCTTCCATAATCTTTGCAACACAATTGTTTACAACCGAATGAATTCTCTCACAAACCCCATTCTGCCATGGACTGAAACCTAGTGTTCATAATATCTAGGTTCAAATTTTCAGCCATATCTCTGAACTGAGCATTTGCAAATTCACCACCATTATCTGACCGAAACTTTCGGAATTCCGAAACCACTGCCTATCCATAATTTTAGGATTTTATCAATGATTATTTTAGGAGTCTTTCTTCTGATGACTGCTGCCAAACTAAATCTTGTTGCAAGATCAATCAGGCGCAGGAAATACACGCCTGGTTTCCACACTTTCAAGTCCATAGCTTCAACTTCATTAAATTCAGTTGCCAAAGGTAGGCACACAACTGGTCTTGGAGTCTTCTTGAACTTCCCCAGCTATTGTAGAGCTACACGCACAGTCTAGAATTGCTGTATATAATGTTTCCCTCCTATACCTTGAGTTCTTCATTTTTGTTTCCTGTGAAGAGTACAAATTCCTCCTCCTTTTCACCATGTTTTCTTTTGTCCATATGTTCATAGGAGTGTGGACAACCTTTCGCCAAATGACTGACAGTGAAGAGATCTGCCATCCGTTCCCAAGAACTCTCTTCCCTCTTGCACTTTCTGTTCCATCATATACATTACTGCTGTTTCTTCGTCCACCAAACAGTCCTCCATAACCTTTAAGCTATGGATTGTTCCCTCGCCCGCCTACCATAATTCTGGTAATTTCCATAACCTCCCTGACCTCTTCTACCTCTCTGACGTGTGCTTAGGGCAGATTCTTCATAGACAGTATAGACTGGTTCAACTTATATTTCTGATATTGGGATCATCTTCTCATGACCACCTGATGCTGGTAGGGACTGTTTCCCAAAGAACTTTCTCATCGAAACACTCATCTGTTTGAATAGGGTTGCCTCATTATTATTGACGATCTGTGTGACTGAGTCCAGGATTCTCAAGTAATTTGAAAGCCAAATTGCGGTAGGCTCATTGTGCACTTCTTTGGGTTTGTTAGAAAGTTTTTCAAATGTGACATAGTTCTCCATGGCCATTCTTTCCAATCTTATAACACACTGTCCATAATCCGTATGAATGTTTTTACACCATCTTTCTGATTCAATTTATTGACACCTAATTCACTGAAAACTTTATCATGAATCCTACCTTTGTTTTCCGGCAGCGATAAGCCAAAACAGGTCCCTGATTTTTCTTCAGGATGGTGGTCTGTTAACAGTCATCCATACGCAGACTTCTTCAATCCATCTGTTATAAGGTATGGCCCCTGAGAATGCTGGGGGGCTCTTTCTTATAGCTGCCACCAGACGCCATGTCTTCTTTCTTGTCAATTTCTTTTTCTTTTTCCCCTACACCAGTGATTTTTGCAACATACAGGACAAGATCAGGGACAGGTGTTAACCACGGTCTGCTACCATGATAAAATAGACACAGGTTCTTCATATACACTTGTATTCAGTATCCATCAGCCAACACAATACACCTGCACTCACAGGTTGTCACTCAACTGCCAGCCTATTAACCAAAACCAAGATGGATGCCATAAAGTCATTCCCAAATCATAGAGGGCAGTTTCATATCCACATATTAAAAAAGGACACCCACCCACCTTTGATTCCCCTAATTCTAGTTACATAAAACTCACCTTATAAATGGGTATACACATTTTTCAAATGCAGTCATAGTTCTGATGAAGCCAAACTTTGTTTGTTTCAAATGAGCCATATAACAACTGACTGCATCTTCAGTTACTAAGGTGACATTAGTTTTGGACACAGTAATCAAATGGATGAGCAGACAAAAGACAAAACCTGAGGCAGAAGAATGCGGGACGATTTTGCCTGTCGTTTTATAATCTGTGCTTTTAAAAAGTATCTTATTTCAGTAAATTAAGTAACTAAGTTGTATAATCACTAAAATGTATACCAGTAAGACCCCACTACCAGTGAATAACTTTTGTTTGTATTTGGAAAAAATCATTTTCTCATAACAAATAAATAAACCTTTATTTGAATCTGTCAAAATATTCCACTAATTCGCTATTCTTCTCAAATAGTAAAATAAGTTTCCTCTTTCTTACGACCGCCTCAATGGTCTAGGGGTAGAGCATCCGCCCGGAGAGCCGAAGGTCGGGTGTTCAATCCCTGGCCGCGTCGTCCCAAAAGACGTTAAAAGATATACTCATTGTTCCCCTGTCTGGCGATCGGCATTAAGGGTTTAAAACAAGGACTGGTCGGCTCGGAGTCAGTATACTGTGTCTGAGTGGGGTATTCATATTAAACTTTGGCATGGTATCTCAGTGGGCTAGCACTATAAATCGGCATCAGTCTGGAGTAGTACAAGCAGACGCTCATGTGTAATAATCTTGGCCGCAATGTTAAACCCCATTTCACCCCACCCACCTCCTCTTTCTTACCTTGAAAGGGGGGTTTCCATTCACAGGAATAGGATCAGGTAATTTATTACTAGGCCCTGCCTCCATTTTGAAATGCTTAAATATTCTAATCATGGTCTAATGAGAACTTATGTGAATGAAATTATAGATTTTGAGTGAATCAAAACCATTGACTATTTCCATGTTAAGAAAATATTTTTTGCGCGAGTGATTTGCAATAATAGATAGGACTATTGGGAATTTTTATGATTTGAAACTAAAACCATGTCTAAAAAGCTCCCCAAAATTATATCTTAAAAGAGCAGATGTAGGTCGTGTTCAAGTTGGTGGCAACATTCAACTGATAAGGCCTACAGCGCCTCAATGACTGATTGGTTTGGGTAAAGGTGTTCACCTAACCCCAGTTATACATAATGTATATCGCAAGTGAGAATAGCACAAACTGCTACACAGGCATCCTTTGACCCTGGAAGTAAGTCTTGGTAAATCCACAAAGCATTCCTGGCCTTCTGATAGGTTTAATACTGACACATGTGCCAGTTTTGAATGACCAGCAGGATCAGTCTATTGGAAAATTGTATGTCCTTAGTTAAAATATTTTCCTTTGAAGGTCTGTTTTGCATGATGCTCTGAGTTAACTTTGTGCAAAGTAAATTTAACTGTTTTGTATTGAAAAAGTGTGCTCAGAAATACAATCATTCTTGCAGAGTTTGAAACATTCTGCATAGTTCACATTTCTTCTTTCAGTGGCATTTAGAAGTTGGTGTGATGAAGAAAGACAAGTTCAATGGATGAACAACTTCTTTATCACAATTAGTGCGACGTTTCGGTGTAGATCCTACTTGCTTGATAAAGGTGTTAGGATCTTCACCGAAACGTCGCACTAATTGTGATAAAGAAGTTGTTCATCCATAGAACTTGTCTTTCTTCTGGTTCATATTTGTTTATACTTTTGTCCTTGGTGTTTACACTGAAAGTATAAAAATTGCAATACCTCAAGTGATTTTTAAGTGGCTTTCTTTGTTTGCATTTATATACAGACTACATATCTACATGTGAGCTACACGGTCATAGCACTATTTTAAAAAAAAATTGTTTCTTTTTGTAGGTTAGTCGCCGTAACTCTCTGACTGACTTCAAGATGTCCGGAGGATTTGACGCCCTATCTCTGAAGGAAGAGGACATTACCAAATTCTTGGCATGTTCCACTCATCTTGGATCAACGAATGTGGACTTCCAGATGGAATCTTACGTATTCAAACGTAAACCAGATGGCAAGTGTTGTCATTGGATCTTTTACACAAAGTTAAAAATAAAAAATGAAAAAAGTGTTTGAAAATTGCTTCAAATGTTGTTACTAGTGTTGCACTATGGGATACCGTATTTGACGTAATAAGCACAATATTCTAATAAGTGCCCACGGCGATATTTGCCAATATATTAGCTAGTGAACAATCCCAATTAGCACCCCTTCCGATTGATCAATGTACACAAGACTTTTTATTCGTGTATAATACTCACTCGTGTGTTATATGCACCCTTAATTATGGGCAATTAAATTCTGGGGGAAATATATGTCGTGTATATTACGCACAAACATTTTTTTTGTATTATTTCACGAAATTTACAATCTTTCAACTGTTTGTTTTTTTTCACCAAAACTTTATTCTAATAAGAGCCCCTTTTCTAATTTTGAGAGCGTCCTGGGCGCTTATTACATCGAATACAGTAATTATGACTTATGACTAGTGCTGCCAGGTAGGAATTTAACACTAGCCCGCTACCCTGAGGCTAGCACAAATTCATTCAGGCTATTTCAAACTTCACCATTGTTTTGACATTACAAGAGCATTTTATCTTTTACCAGGCTAGTAAAGCTTTTGAGTTTAATTCTGACCCTGGCTGGAGAGATTGATGGAATAATCTCTTTTGATTGATTTGGAAAGTCAAAATGATTACAGTCTGCAACTTTGTCCACTAGTCCAAAGCCCCTGTCTAGTAAAATTCCTTTTGGTCTAGTAAGATGAATTTGTAATAGTCACATCTACTGAATATAGTGCCAAAATACACGTTTGGGGTAGTAGACTTAAATTTTTTAAAGTTTTTGGCAAACAGTGTGATTATTGATCTACTGAATATATGTATATAGTTATATATTTTTTGCTCTACCTGCATTACTCCTAAAAGCTCTAAATGCTACTGTCAAACCCATTCAACAGAGTCAATAGCCGTGTTGCTACTGTCGAACCAATTCGACAGGCGGATTGCATAACAGCCCAAAATAAAACTAGCACTAACTATTTTCCAAGTAGGTTTTACGTGTCATTTAAATTATGTATGGTATGCAGAAATGCTCAGCTTGCAAAATATCAAGACTTTTTGTAGTTTATTTACATCAAAAAGAAAACGAATTTCGCGGCACACAACTACCAGAAACGGACATTGTTGACTTGTGGCACTTTACGTTGAGCGACATGCAGTCCGAGGGTGTCTTTATCATTTTACCATTTTTCACATTCGATCATAATTTTTTGTTAACGTGTGAAAGGAAAGCACTCAAGTTCCTTAATTTCTAAAAATTTTCAACTTTCTGTATAATTAATTATAAACAAAAACAATCTGAATCGTAACATCATTGGATGAAAGTTGTACAATCATGGTAACTGCGGTAAACAAACAACTCCACATGCATTGTGATCCTGTGATATAATTACAATCCTTTTCATATATCTAATTTGATTTTCTAGAATTCTTTACACAGATGTTTAATCTTTGTGAAAAAAATCTCATTTTTATCGAGTTAGCATATGATTTCGTGTGATTAACTTTCAGACATTCCTGCTGATAAGTGTAGTGACACGTACGTTTGGGCGTGGCCTAACTCGCAATTTGTTAAGTTGAACAAAGTCAACAAACACTGGGAATAATGAAAAATATTGGATGTCGTAGGGCAATGTGATTTTGTACCCAAAACAAAATTGTACCCAAAATTCTTCCTGATTTTGTACCCAAGAAAACTGAACTAAATCCATAGAATTATTTTTATTTTTCACGTTTATTGCAAACGATTAGCAGAACATTATGATAAAACATTTCATCAAGTTCATAATATTTGTGACTAACTGTACGTTGTCCTTCAATGAAGTCAGTCCACATTGTCAAAATTTAAATTGATTGTTTGGCTTTGATGGGAAGGTGACAACCTTAATTGCCACTGAAGAAGAGCCAGTTAAATTGGTAAACCCTTATTTAATTGTATTGTTTTGATAGGAAAGTGATAATAAATAAACTCTTTGACACTAAAAGTAATGTTTATCTTTGAAACTAATACAAAATTATTCTGGGTACAAAATCACATACCGGTTTGGGAATAAACTCAAAAGAAATTTAAGGTACAAAAATTACATTTCAACTGGATTTGGTTAAATGTAATAACTCTGATCTGTAGGATTCCTTTTCACATTTTAAAACAAGCATTTGTTTTTGTAACCAAACAGTAGACAGCTTATGTTTTGTCCTAAAAGTAGAAAAAAATTATGAAAAATATGGACACCTGATAAATGAGGGCTTTTAAAGTTATTATTCTATCTAACTTGTCAGATGGTTTAATGTTGGTCTATCTAAAAAAAATCCTCATGAAATTTAAAAAAAATAATTTATGATGTTTAAAATTCCAAGCACTATACAGTCAAGTCCCGTTAATCCGACATAGTTGGTTGCTTATGATTATGTTGGATTAATGAGTATGTCGGATAAACGAAATTAAGTATTATCAACGTTCGTGATCGAAACTCGGACAACTAACGATAGACAACGATACAAACATGTAATGAAAAAATACAAATGAAATATTCATATTATGTTACATTGTTAATGGAATATGTTTTCTAATCATGCAACCTCTAAAGCTCAACACAAAACAACTGTTACGGACTGTAAGGCTTATTCAAAATACTTTAAAAAGCTTAGTCTGGAATGGAAGCCTGAAGTTTGAAACTGTTGCCGCAAAGCTTAAGAAAGCTGCTTTCTAAGTGGCTAAAGTTCACTTTTAGTCATTTAATTGGTTGGTCATAGTTCTGATGTGACCTGTAATGGGATGTCCTTGATGATTAGCGAGAACTTGTATCTGATTTTAATGAGATTGAGGTAATCCAAGCATGTAATAAATCCTGTTTTCTTTATTTAAAGCATTAATTATTTATTGTTAAGCAAGTTTATCTCTGCAGCTGTTGTAATATGCAGCTACCAGCCGACTCTTCTTGCATCAAAACATGGGCTGTGTACCCACGGGCAGATGACCACGGAGTATGCTGATCACTGTCAGATTAACGAGACTGATTAATGAGTTATTTCGATAATTCGTTGCAAATTAGGTGAGTCAGAGTGTAAGACTGAAGGATTAACGGGTCAAAATAGCACTGATTTAATCGGTTCCGATCATTAGTGTCAGGTAAAGTTGATTGTCGGGGATTAACAGGACTTGACTGTACCTAAGATCATACAAGGAAAAGACAAATGTGTTGTTGGTTTTTATTACTAACGCTTTTGTTTTTGGAAATTCTTGTTTCATGATGGCAAGGGCACTTTTATACACACCAACTGAGGAACCAGAGACTCTTGTGTGAAAGATGAAGCCACCATTTATCAAAGAAAATATCTGCTTGTAAAACATCTTTGCTATTACATATTATTCACCATTTCAAGGTCTAATCCTATTGTTTATAAATATGAAAGTTATGTTTATCACATTATATTAAAAAATTAATTAAGTTTGTTGTAAATAAAAAAAATGTAAGCTTACATATTCATAACGTCCAGATGAAAATTAATGATTTTCGCAATTATAAGATTTCTTAAAAAAACAATTGTTTACGCAATTAGAAAAATATTTTAAAAAGAATTATAAATAGTATCTGTCATCTCCCATTTCCTGATAACAGCGGCTGTCTGCTCAGTAACATGAAGAAATATCTCCGTTTTTGAATAACACGTTCGTCGAAGACTGCCACATGACACATCGCTAGAAAGCTTAGATAAAATTGGTTTCTAGTGACGCCTTCTTTGCCGAAATCTGCTACAAGGTTCGTGATTGACCTTAGTCAGCCTATCAAATTACATCTATATTGAGCCCGTGAAGATTCCGGGGTAGAATAGGTCTGCAACAACCCATGCTTGCCCTAAAAGGCGACTATGCTTGTCGTAAAAGGCGACTAACGGGATTGGGTGGTCAGGCTCGCCGACTTGGTTGATGCATGTCATCAATCCCAATTGAGTGGATCGATGCTCATGATATCAATCACTGGATTGTCTGGTCCAGACTCGATTATTTACAGACCGCAGTCATATAGCTGGAATATTGCTGAGTGCGGCAATAAATAACAAACCAACCAACCAACATCTATATTGTGATGGATTTCAGAATTTGACGAAAGATTTTTGTTAAATCGTGTTATTCTGAACGTTTCAAGAATGAAATTGTGATCTATATTAAAAATATGGAACTGCATGGATGTATCGTGCTAGGTCACGAGCTGTGACATATTTTTCATGCTTATATTTTTGCATTAAACATCGTGTCCGAGCCGAGGAAATTGAGGCGACAAAAGATGAGATGTCAATTGACTTACATTACAGGTGATCGCACTAAAAGATAAATAATACATTAGATGTAAGTTTGACAACTTTCAGATATATTTTTGTTGATTTTATTTATTACTTTGAATAATATATTTAAATATATTCTTGAAACGTCTTTATATTGCTCTTTGACATGTTCATTGTGGACCCGTTTTTATTTTCAATAACATTGCGGGAAATAGTGAATAGGCTTTTTAATCTACCGATAACCAAATGATAAATTGAAATGGAATACGTATTTCAGACATTGTGAAATGTGATGGATTTAATAAATAAATAATATGATAGGTAGTTTCATAAAATTATATACTATTTTGACGTGACTACGGCTTGGTCAGTCAACCAGCCAACAGGGTGTATGGGGACTCGAGGATGGGATGTCATCTTAATAAAGAAACGACCTTGGGTCAATTGAATGAATTACCAATGACAGTTTTTACGGCTTTTGATTGGTCTCTCGAAAATAGACATATGTCATTTGCATAATATTAATCTCCATGCCATATTTTCATTGGTCAAAAAGAGCTGGGAATAGTCCACGTCCACCATAGTTGAACGGAAAGAAAGGAAGTAAAAACGGTGAGGTAACTTTAAACTAGAGGTAACAAATCAAAGAAAATCTGCGCAAAATCAAAAG